ATGAATGAATGGATGAATGGATGGATGGATGGATGGATGAATGGATGAATGGATGAATGGATGGATGGATGGATGGATGGCCGTCTCACCGCAGGTTCTCTGAGCTGAACTCTGACTCCAGGAACTTGAGGAACTGGTCTCGTCCTGCGGGGTCCTTCAGTGCTTCTTCCAGGGAGAAGCCCCACTTCTTCACACGCTGCTGGCTGGGATCACGACTGTTCAGAGCAGAACAAAAGAGTAAAAAGATAAGACAGGAAAGAAATTAAAGCTATGCTGTTTGTCCTCACAGTCCACAGAGAGCCCAGACCAGCCAGCCAGAACACAGTCAACCTTTGGGAGTTAGCGCTCGTTTGAGATGAGATGCAAACAGACACGGTCCTCCTAATTCAGCATCGGGACCTTTGCGCTCCACCTGACCTTGTTGTTGGTTTAAAGTATCATCCGCCCCCGGTGAACTGCGAGGCCACGTCCCCACACGGCCCCTCGAACCTCACCTCGCCTCCAAGTCCCAGAAGGAAGTGTCGTCACTGATCCAGGGGTTGGAGGGCTCCGTGGCCGACACGAACGGGTCGTATTCCATGAACTGCTCCGTGTAGCTCATCAGGCTGTCGGCCACTTTGGACACCTTCATACAGTGTCTGTCCAGCTGGATGTTCAAGAAGCTAATCTGATGGAGAGGCAGAGAGAGTAATGAGGAGGCTAAATAAGGCAACGGCCCATCAGTCTACGTCGCTGACTGTCCTTATGATGGATGAGTGAGGCAGGCTGCTGGTAATGACCGATGGAAAACACCGTCACACCGCCGCTCACCTCCTTCTGAACGTCCTCTTTGGTGGGCTTCCTGGCTGCCTGGGAGCTGATGTGGATGGGACTGGGCTGGCTCTGGCCGTCATCTGGTACCCCGTAGACCGACTGGAGAGAGACACACAGGACGTTTTGTTTGATGCCATTGTTGTTTTGCCCTCGTTTGATTTATGTCGAGTATTTGTGGGACCAGGCCTCAGTAATGTGTCAGGGAATGTGGGGATTGAACAGAAATTCATGTTTTACAATTATAAAATGCACACGGCAGGCTTTGAAAGGTGACGGATTTTTAAAAAACTAAATATCATTAGATGTGTTTTTCTACCCAAATTAAAAAATAAAAATAAATTTTAAAATGCCATTGTTAAACTACACATTTAATAAAAAATCAATAAATTTTCTTTTGAACTTATATTAAAAGAAAAAAAGATGTTTTTTTTAAGTAAAGAGGTGAGATTTTTGCTATTTTGTGATATTTTTGTCAAAAAATAATTACAAGTATAATTAAATTTATTTTAATTTTGAACATGTATGATATGTACATTAAGTGTTTTTGTTGCAAAACAATATTTAATGAGTATTCTCAATTTCTATATTTTTTTTAATTATTATTCTAAT